TTACTCTGTATTATTCTATTTTTTGGCAATACTATTAGATTACCTTATGTACACTCTTTTCTGTTTGCTTTTGACAAGTGGTAGCAATTTTTTCTAATACATGTTCAATTGAGTTACTTTTTCCCATTTTTTTTCATTATGACTTCAGCTAAAGATATTGTCTCTGGTACTCCAAGTAGTTGATTTATTGTTTTCCATGTATTTTTGATATTGTTTCTGCTAATTTCAAATAAATTATTAAAATATTCTTTCTTTTGTCTCTGAATTCTTTTTGTTACATCATTTCTATCTTTTTTATAATCAATTCTTAGTGTATCTTACAGTTCTTTGTTTTTAACTGCAGTTCTTTACAGTTTCCTAAAAATGTTTTCCCTTTGTTTTATCAATTCATTTATTTCAGAGTTTATCCAGGATTTCAAAATTATATTTTTTCTACTTTTGTTTGGTTCTTTAGAGAATAACGCATTATTAAAGATATTTTTTATTGCATAGTACAGATCATTAGCTGTAAGGTTTTGAAGACTAGCCTCATTTATATTCAATAGTTCTTTCTGTAGTTTATTTTTATTTATAAATTCAAATTTATTTGTTATGTTGTCAAGAAAATACTTTTTACATGTGAAGTTACTTGAAATTCCAAGTAGATGATGATTTGTTATTTTACATTCTAAAATGAATGGGATTATATTTTTGGATTTTCCTCTTACAACTATATGACCAATACATGAGCTTACTATTTTGTCCTTTCTTATTTCAACCCTCGTAGCTTTTTTAATGCAGTTCACCAATTTGTAATCTAGCTAGTTATTCAGGTAATTAATTGTGGTTTTTTATTCATTACAGATATCTATATTACAGTCTCCGATTAGTAATTTGTTCACATATTTATCTGAATTAAAAATTTTGTCTAGTTCTTGTAAATAGAAAGTTTTGCTATTATTTCATGGTCTATAGACTGCCTATATACTTACTTTTATTTTATTGCTTATTTTTAACTTCCCCACTAATACCTCAAACCGACAACTTACCAAATCAGCAAGTTCAAATTTGTACATATCCTTTACAAATAGCGTAATACCTCCTCCTTCTTTCTCTTCTCTTATTTGTATGTATTTATTAAAGTTTGGCAAATGATATTCTTAAACGTCATCGTTCTTTTTGACACTAATTTCACTCACGGCGATCACATCTATATTTTGGACACAATCTCTTATGGCTCCACAAAATTCATCACAGTTTTTAGTTATTGATCTTATGTTTAGATGAATAATATTCAACTTATTCTTACTTGAATTTATTAAATCATTCACACATCACATTTAGTCACATGTAATGGTGTGTGACGAGTCAAATATGATACTATTTCATTCAATCGCATACATCTTCTTGAGTGCAGCGAGTGAAGTTACAGTTATTGTCCAGAAGCAAAACAAGGGGCCATCTCAGCATTTGCTCAAAGGACCAGGGAAACTGGACAAAAAACCTATTCAAGATGGGGTCATTGGCCTAGCGATAATACTACAATACTTGTTACAGATATATTAAGTTATTACATAGTTTATAAATATTTTTAGTAGCAAAATAGTTGAACATTTAACTTACTTTAATTTAATTTAAAATACTTCAACTTTTCAAGGTGTGTACTGTTATATTTTTCAAAATAACTTTTACGAGGTATCGTGATTTGACTGTTAATAATAATAAGAAGAAGAAGAATAAGAATAAGAATAAGAATACTTACAATAAGAATACTTACAATAACAATAACAACAACATATTGAAATCATGATTTGCTTGCTGGAGACGTCATCTTAATGGCTGGAAAATGATGTAGAAGTACTTCCTTGCATAGTTTCAATGCGAAGTCAACACGCTACGCCCTCAGCCTCTTCGCTCGGTAATTTATTATTATTGTCCCTATGTTCATCTGTTACGGTAGCGTACAGTAAAAGAAAGGAATTTGTACTGTGGAGATAAAATATGTGTGTAGATTATATTCGCCCATACGTCATATACAGTTCTTATGTTTTATAAGTGAATATACGCCGACATAGGAGGCCGAGGTGGCTACACGCGTGTACCGACCCAGCGCTTGGGTCCGTGTCCCGCCTTAGGCATGATTGTTTATCCCTTGTCTCTCTTGTAGTATGTGTAGTCGCGGAGGGCCTCGTGTTCGAGTAAAGTCGAATTTGCGTTCCATCAGGGTGTAAAGGGTAACATGTTCTCGGCTTTTTAACAGCCCGAGAAAAAAGGTGAATATACAAATAAATAGGTAGTAAAATAAAGAAAAGTGTATCTCTTGTATGTTTGTCCTGGTATTCCGGCGGTGAGATTTTTGTATCCTCGTGGGCTGTTGCGGCAAATTTAATGAAAGTAGGTTCAATTTCCCAGATGAGAAAATGACAGAAAATGAGTGCGTTGAAGATCTGCTTGGGTGAGGCAAAGGACGAGGGAACGTGCGTGACGGACGCCGCCGCACGCGCCTTTGATTTATGGCCGCCCAGCACGGAAGCGAGCGGCGGGATTGGGCTGTCCGGAAAAAGAGAAATAGAGCGCGACCCCGACCTGCTCGGTGATCTACCTGCATGGTGATGCGATTCGACCTGACCGGCTTTTACAACATGGCGCTGCTTCTTCAATCATGCCACGAGCTTCTATGCCGAGATTGAAGTTGTGAAGTTGGGAACATGTTTGAAAATGAAAGTGTACTTTCTGGACGGGAAATGCTAAGAAAGTTGAAAAAATGCATGTGCCACTGGATAAGAATTTTACAAATGTGACCCGTGTATTTGTCTGTAACCTACTTTTACTTTCTTCGAAATCGTACGTTAATGCGATATACGTAACATAGAGAAGGAAATGTTGAGGAAAAGCGAAGTCTAGATTTTAACGGGTTTAAACGTTGTTACAGAAATAGAGTATTTTTCGACACCTCTGTCTGTCTAACTGTGAACCACATTAGCCTCTATACTTTCCATAGATTTATTTTCCAATCCAAATATTTCACGATTGATCTGGCACTGTAAATTTGAAACGGATCTTTCAGTTTTGGTGGTAATTCATACCTGGGATACATTCAAAATTATTTCAAAAATAGTTCAATTTTTTATTTAAGTTTCTAGCTGGAATATTATGAAATACACTAATAAAGATCCTAAATACACTAAATTAGGTCCGATTTTCGCTGTTAACTACGAATTTTCGGAAATTGCTAATGTTTCTAATTTTTTGGACCCCTCCTAAAATTATGATTAAAGATATTTTTTCGACCTAATTAGCTCTTCAATGTTATTTACATTAAAAAATAATAATTTCGGCTTTATGATGAGTGAAATATGGGAAATTAAAGAATGATTTCCCCCAAAATGGCTCTTTGTAGGTTTTGGAACGCATTGAGCTAAACGTGCCTAATAAAGTGACAGCGTCTGTATAATGTAGCCTTTAGTTTGGTCAAAATTTGAATTTGTTAAATACATTGTTGATATTTACATTAGCGCGCTATTGATGTTTACATTAGAGGCATGTTATAATTTATTCCATAGGTGCCTCAAATGATTCCTTGAGAAATTTTTGAAATTTTGAAAAGCTTTAAAGTGAAAGTAGCTCAAAATAAGCGTTGCAAGAAACGCTTTTTATTTATTTATTTGTTTGTTTATTTTATTTATTTATTTATTTGTTTGTTTATTTTATTTATTTATTTATTTGTTTGTTTATTTTATTTATTTGTTTGTTTGTCAGAAACAGTTAAAAACTGTGTGCTATGGGGATAAGTTAATTTGAAGTTACATTCATGTCCAGAAGCAAAACAAGAGGCCATCTTAGCATTTTTTTGGACTGAACAAAAGCCGGGCTAAAACTTGATCTAGATGAGGGTCATTGACCAGAAGCTGTAGTGCAATACATGTTACAAGTTCTTTAGAATTATACAATCCAAATGGTGTATAATACATTAAATGTAATTGTTAAAATTAATATTACGTTCCTTTTGTATGCTCAGTATAGTCTCTAATTGTATAGAAACAGTTGTGCAGCAGAAAATATGTTACCTGGGACTTAAACTTTTGCAACCAATTTAATCGTTTAATGTCACCTAGCTAGGCGTTGTAAAATAATGTACGTAATATATGTGAATTTTTTGTAGTGAGTTTAAGTAAACTTAATCAGTGCTATAGCTGGTGCTAGTATTACTGCCACAACTAAACTATTTTTATGTTCTTCAACGTTTTCATTAGTGTTAAATAAAAAAATCTATTATTACTGAATGCGATATTGAAGCATCTTAATTCTAGTTCGTTTGCATTGTTGCTTTCGAAACGGTTTCAAACTCATTAAGATACAGACATAGTTTCAATGCTTCAAAGCACATTAAAAGCGAATTCATGAAAGTCAGTTTTACTTATATTATTATTAATATTAATATTATTGTTGTATAATAATACAATATAGTTTATAAATAATATTTCATAATTATTGTATTTCATAACCATAATCAGTGGCTTAATACAGGATAGTCGTGGTCAGTAAAGCCATGGATTCGAAACCTGGTAAGAGATGAATGTTATTAGTTGTGTCAAGGCATGAGAAATTTCAGAGTCCCTCGTGTCCCTTACATATATTGTATGCTATTTCTAATGTAAAATACCTTGAGAGGTAACGTGTGAGTGAGCAACTTGAGAGGCAATTTGAGAGAGTGGTGTGTTGGATATCTCTCTGCGGATGTAATTGAGGAACTGGCTGTTTACATCTTGAGCAATGGTATAAACACCAAAATGGGGCCGCGGGCTACTATGGGGAAATATGTAATATTAAAGGACTGCGATATTCCTATGCGATGTTCGAGGAGCATGATGAGGCTCTTAACTGGAAATCCCCGAAAATATTAATTTTAACTTCACATTTTCCTATCTTCACTTCCTAATAATGTATACACTAGTCTTCTGGAGGCTACATATGAATCCCAGACGTAGTTAAACTCCTGGGCTGCGTGTTGTGTGTTGCAGAAGCGGCACCGCGCCGACAACGAGATCAACCAGCGCCAGGTGGAGGTGCTGCGCGAGGGCCACTGGCTGTGGATGCAGTGGAAGATGGTGGTGGTTGGCGACATAGTTAAGGTGCAAAACGACAAGTTCTTCCCAGCCGATCTCATGGTGATCTCCACCAGGTGAGCCACTCGCCATTCCCGCATCTCCCAACGTACTAATTTTCATTTGTGGAGTTTACGTACGGGCAAGCATGAGAAATTTCCTTGTACATTACCTTAAGATTAAGATCTCATATCACGTTCTCGTCGAATGCTTGTTTTAGGGAGAATATCTTAACTATGCCTTTTTGACGATTCGAAATGCCATCATTCCTCTTTGTCCCTTTCACAAATGTCATCTTCGGATGGATTGTAACCCTAACTAATTGTGATTATATCGTATCAATTTGTTGAATTCTTCAAAAATGTTTATATGACATTACTGGATTATGAACCATCAGAAAAATATTTTTATCTAAGCTTATTAATGTTGTATGTTTTTTTACTACAAAATCTTCGGTTAGTGTGCTTAAGATAACATACGAATTCTTCAGAAATACTTCGAATTCTTCAGAATGGATGTTCGTAATTTCATCTTTCCGAATTAAGTTGATTGCATAATAATAAATGAATCGGATTGTAACATATTAAAATAGCATTTCTATACTGAAATATTTAAATATCCGGAATTTTTCTAATCCATCTCGCTAGTAAAGGATGATAAGGTAACTTTGTATGTTAATTTATTTTTTTACAGTGTAAATAGGGGTATACGACAATTAGTAGTACCTATTCCATAATTATTTTTGAATAAGTTTTCCGCCGTTAAACATTCCTTCTTCGTGTTATTATGTCTTCATGCAATGACAAATAGAAGTGACATGTGAGTCATACTCCAGTAACTTGCGTAATTCAATCCTCACTTTATTAAAAGTATGACCTAAACTAATCGATTAATTTTGCCTGAGAACAACGCCAGCGCCTAAACCGTTTACAGATCATTACGAAAATTTATATTCCCGATGGATCTGATTGATATCACAGTCTTTTGAAATCGAAACTCATGTATTTTCCGTTTTACATAAAGTCTCAGAGACATCTAAAAAATGTTCTCAAAAGTTGCTTTATTTTTTCTCGAATCGAGCTAAGTAAACTTATAAAAGTGGTACGAATTTAGTGAAGTCTGTGAATTTTTGAAAATTGTAAAAGTTGGCAATTATTTTGCACATCTTCCACAAATACATTATAAAAAACAGATATTTTTTAAAATAAATATTATCAAAATCAGAACTTAAGGTCTTTTTTGTAATAATTTCTGTGAATTCTCGAAAATTGCAGATTTTCAATCATTTTGGAGGGTCAGGAACATTCGCATGGTGTAGCGAATAAGTGAGTGAAGTGCTCGCTTAACCCAAATATCTGGGATTGAATCCCAGCCTAGGTAGGAAATTTTTGGCGGTTGGAAACACTTTTGCGGGTTAGTGTAGTAATTTATAACATTACATAACTGTTTCAAAAATGCAAGAAAGTACGTGCTGTTTTAGAACCACTAATTCTTTTTGAAAAGAGAACACTAGTCAGAAACAGATATTTTTAGAGTGGAATTCGTGGTAAGCGATAATGTACCTAACCCATAATTATTTTTAAATATGTTTTTCTTGTATCTTGTAGTTTTCCATGAAGCATGGGATTATCTGTAGAGCGACATTGATGAATTTCTCTCGCGTTAACTGCTCCTTTTTGCCCGCGAAATGCTGGCGTGTGCGCATCCACTCATTCGGCGGGTCGACGGCGGAGGCGACATCGGTGTCTAGCGAAGAACAGCGGCCAAGTGCAATCTAGAGGTCAGCATATGCTGACTGCTAGGAAAGAAGAGGGAGCGCGTACTCTATAAACGACATCCGTTCTGGCGGATACGCTGCCTCCGATAGGGTTCCGGCGCGTGCGTGCGTTCCGCGTACTATAATGGTGGCGCAGGAGAGTTGAACAACAGTACTATTAAAATAACGTACATTTTTTATCCATAAAGATAGCTAATTGGGACCTCTACCTAATGGCAACAATAATTTTCGTTTTTATGAGATTTTCTTCTTTTTACTTTCTCGTCCTTACTTCGTGAAAAATTGTAATTGTGCGCCGGAAAACGTCGAATTTTCCACAGAAAAACTCTTATTGTCGGGCCGTAGAAATAAAAACGTGGATAAATGATGTTTCTATAGGAACATATAGAGTAAATTACTTACTCTAATACGAGGTATACTCAGAATCCATTCATTGATTGGTTAGTGATTCCAGGCGCGTCAACGGCTAAGATCATTATTCTCATGAGCCTTGTGCCTGTTTCACCGCGGCAAGGCAGTGATCTTCCCTCATTGGTTTGCAAGATCCGGTGCCGACCTATGTCGTAATGGGGGGCTTTTCCCCCAACCAGGTATCTCCCACCAGCGGGTTACAGGCGCGGCCGGGACAAGCTCAAAGCTCCCGATTGGTCTTCTGGCTTATGTGGTAGTGTAGGCATGCGGGTGTAAGTGTAAGTAAGAAGAAATGACAAGGAAGAGGAAGGAAAGACCGCGCGCGAATCTTGGCCCGTTTGTTAAGAAACTGCTCCAGCCATCGCCTGGAGTTGATCAGAGAAACCACGGAAACATTTTGATCAGAACAGTCGACCTCTAGAACTCTCCTCCAAACAGCTGCTGAATTCGACCTAGCTAAAAGTTAGTTTCGAAAATACTGCTACCGTCAAAACTCGGAAACCTAAGGCTTCCCGGCACTGCAGTGAGGACAGTTGATGCCCTGAACCCAGCTGCTTCAAGCATTTTAACAGACTTTTATTTCGAACAGTTTGAAGTAAATGAATGCTGATTTATGCTTGACAGCGCTTGCGTACACTAATGTAGAACGAATTATTGATTTAAAAATTAGTAGCCTATTTTCGACACTGGGATTTGAGTAGTGTTTTACCCAGCCATCCCCACAAGATATGTTACCTAATTCCAATTAAGTACCACGCCCCCAGGAAAGTTTATGGCACTCCACTCCACGGAATGGAATCAGATGATTCAAAACGCAGACACAGAAATGAGAGAACAAAGTAGTATAAGGACCACATTTATTTGTATAGAGTCCTCGTATGTAAGCCTAATACTAAACAGAAGTATTCTGCAGTTGAAATATAAAAATTATGGACGACACTATTTGAAAATGTGAAATGCTGAAGAGATTTCAGTTTTTGTGGCAAGAAAAAGAACTGTTGGAGTATACCGTCTGGTATACTCCTACGGGTCTTTCTTTTTTTTCAGTAAATTCCCGCAATACAATACAAATAGACAAATATTAGGGTTTTAAATCATTTTTACGTTTATATCTTTTAGATTTTTTGCGTCAAAGAACAGTAAAAATTGTATGAGACATATGAGGAAGAAGTATAATTTGAGCACGTTTCCTCAAGTACTAGTATTTTCCCCACATCATGGTTCAGTGATGAATAAAAGTGTCAACAAAACGAGTTTAACAACGTTTGAAAACTAGAAATGTTTGCTTCCGAGTTGTAGAAAAATATTTGCGTCGGTAAACGAACTAGAAATTTGATTTTTTGTAGTATTGCTAACAAAACAGCAACTCACATCCCCGGCTCTACTCGCTCAACTTGCAAAAGGAGAGCTCAACAAAAAGAGCGTATAGTAAAGTTAGATAATCTGAAATATTTTACCTGCTTACATCTATTTCTGCCATAAATATAATGGTACTCATATTTGTTCACTTCTATTTCATTAATGTAATAAACATATAGTCCATATATAGACCAATATGGTCCTAACTTTATTCTTATTAAAGACATACAGACCTTAACATTTACCACGCCCCAATATTTTCTGACCACACCCGTTATAAATTTCTGCGTAAATCGTTGTTTGACTTGTAGTTGATAAAGGGATACAATTTACTCAATTTAGCAGCAGCTTCTTTATTAATAAAATTGGTGTCTCTGATTTCAAAATAACTACCTTGATATAATTCCACAAGCTTAGTTAGATGACACAAACACAATTGAAATGTTTTTACGATTTTTGACTTTCTGTTGGTAATAATTAGGGCTTGTTTTTTTCGACTTTTTAAAAAAATGTTAACAATGTTACGATTTTAGTAGCTGGGAAGCTGTTATTGCTTTAATAGCGTAACATTGAAAAAAAGTTAATTATGTTAATTTTCCTCTACTTAAAACTTATTTCAATTTAACTCTTGTAATTACAATAGCGCGACACAGTTACATTTGTACAGTGAGATTACATTTCACAGTGAGGTAACATGGAATGCTACTACAGTTGCCACAACTAACTATAACAATAACACATTTCCTTTCCCTATTTTTTGTCCCTGACTCATTGTGTACCATGTCTCATTGTGTTTTACGTGATAATTCTCAATCGTAAAGAGAGAAAACCTCTACCAGAACTTCAAACGGAGTATAACGATGCAAAGCACTTTAGCTTGAAGTCATATATTATCCAGGACATATCCTCCCAAAATGGTCTGAAGGTCATTTCGTGTATCGTGTCCTGTACTTAGCTTTGTACCGAAAACCTTCTGTTTGAAAATGGATTAGCGGCCAAGACAAGATCGAAAAGATGTCTTTATCGTATATTCATTAGCCTAAATTTGAAGTCCATAGCACCTTCCATTCACTTGCTTAAAGTACATTGATGAAAAACGGTATTTTTGACCGAGTAATTCACAGCTGCATTCTATTCATTTTATCGATGCAGAAATAACCTTTCAAAATTCACTTGAAAGTTCGATATTTTTGTTTTTACTTTCTTGTAAGCGTTTACGTAAATACGGAGTGAATAAGTAGTGAAGAGAAAGTTTGTAATGCTGCGGAAAATCAATTTTGAG